AAGGGATGAAAGAATTTAGGTTACAAGGAGTTAATGCCGCGAGAATGCTTTTTGCTCGAGTGGTTTTGCAGAATACGATTTTAACCCTCGAGCATGCGCACTGTTTTAAATCATACGCGATGCCCGCGTAGGCGTGTAAAGCGCACCACCGTAAATTACGCTTAATTTATGGAGCAAAACAAATAAATTTTGCCCGAAAGAATTCGTTTGGTAAGAGGCTATTACTTCTTCTTTAATTTACCCTCTTAATATTCATTGTCATTTGTTTTTTCGTGCTTCCTGGGGTGGTTTTTTTTTATCAATCTTATGTTTCCATCGTCGCGAGTAATGAATCGTCGCGATCGTATGCTATTTATAACTTGTTGGAACAACGACGAGCTGAAATACATTAAGGAAATCCAGATTAACATTGTCATTGTAATTCAAATCACGTCGATGCGTTCGATACATCGGTGCATTCGTTCGAGCGTTAATAATCGAACCGTCATGAATATTTAAAAGACATTTATTTTGTTGCTGGAAAATTTTATCAAATGCAATGTGTAAATGAAAGAATTAACAGAACAGTTTTTAATAAAAGTTGAAATTTCGTAATACCTAAAGTACTATTTTCCAAGGTAGAAAGACAAAAAATTATTCGAGAAATTAAATATCAAAGTATGACTGGATTGCGTACAGTACGCTTTGCACCATATCTAGAATAAATAAATGCTCGAATAAGACAATGAAACGCTCGAAAGACTGAGCGTAATTCTCTTTAACGAGCACGTGCCTTACGAACATATGCCCAGTCGTAAACCACAACGCTTATACGTATACGTAATGGCTAGCTGCGTGCATTCCATCTTGCGTGACCCCCGTCACACATATGAATCATAAATCATAGCCGTGTTACATCGCGGATTTGCAAACAGGCCGTACACGTCGAAGACGTCTTTCGTTCTTCTAAAATTTACGGCTCTATTGAAGCGTTACGTGTGACGAGTTGCAGTATTTACTTACTTGTTAGACGGGAAATCAATGTGATGTATTTGACGAACTCGTGACCGAGACTTGTCGATCGCGTTTGTCGCGGACAGAATTTGACTAATCGCCGGATAATAAATGATTTCATCAAACTTACATTCCACAGTTTCACTTTGATATCCAATAATAGTCAAAATCGTAAGTGTAATTACGAAATATTCAATTTTTATTAATCATTGATTATTATCGAGGAAAATAAAAAAACCTATCGTTATCCTATTTGTACCAGGTGAAAATAGTCTGGTATAATTTTAAAATCACATTGCTTTTTCCGTCCACAAGTGCAAATTTCTATCTCGTGTAAGTTACGAAATACAGAACGGCTTGGAAAGAAAGATTGAAATAATTAAGAATCGTACAGTAGTGAGGAAAGTATGTCTGAAACGTTCGATTCACAAATCAATCACCTCGGAATGATCTACGGCTTTCTGTTCTGGTAACACGAGTGACTCGTACAGTGTGTCGAGTAAGTATGCTGTCAAATGTATATATTGTATTAATGAAGTCGATCATACGAAAAGAATTTCTACGAGCCCCATGTCAGAAAATGTTTTATTCATGAGTTGTATGGTAATGTTTGATATTAAAACGCAACGTTCAAATTAGTGATAGGTGTTCCAAAGTTGTTCCTTCTGTAAAAGACACGATCTTACATTCGTCGAATAACGGTTGAGCCCCGTCGTATTTATAATAATAAATTTTTTGTTCCTGAATCGACGATGTAAGCTGTCAATTATAACCGTGTAATAAAACATTTTACGGACACGAGTTCGTGTATTTTACTGGAACAGAATGATTAATTTAGTCCATTGAATGGTATCTTGTCTATGATAGAAGACTAAAACGACTTTAAATTTGTTTACATACTTAAACGTAACGTGAATATTGACTTTAATCTTCTTTGTTTAAATCCATTATATGAAAAATGGAAAGATCTACGTGCAATGAGAAGAGATAAAATACTTTTGGCCATTATTTGTTCGAAGAATTGCGCGTCTTAATTTGTTATCTTATTAAAAAGTCTACAGTAAATAACGATGAATACGCCTGATGAGCTTCCTCGTTTTTTCTACGTCCCCGTCATTACGTAATACGAATATCGTGAATGATTCGTCTTAAATGTCCAACGCGAGGGATTGCTGCAATTTATCGTATCATTTGATACGTAATGACTAACAAACAGAATGTAATGTTATGCAACGCTGTGTACGAGGGTCATTGGTCATTCAACCTAGTGTAGCATTGATACAATATAGTTACTGATTGGACTACGGAAACATGCAAGCTGACATGATTAACTTGGTATCTATGTAGCGTGTGAAAGTACACGTGTTGCACGTTACACTCGGCGAAAGTATTAATTCAAATGTGCAGCTTTAACGATAGCACTATTTGCATAATATATACGCTACTAGAAATCATAAATTATAACAATTTCTTATTAAACAATTGCCTTAAAAAATTGGGAACGTCAAGATCCAAACAGCATCGAAATTAAAAAATGTTATTATTTTTGGAGTTAGAAAATATTCCGAACGAACGATAGGAAAGAAATTATGAGAATAGAAATGTGTGCAATTTTTAGCGCTGGTCTAAACATCTTAACGTAAGAGAAAGCTGTATAATCTTCTATTTATACTCGAATGAAGATAGAACTTTCTTTGCACACACGTGTGTAATTTGCACGTCAGCAAAATGTTTGTCAAATTGTACAACAGATAATGGCTATTCGATTCTTCCTTAAAGTTAATTTTTCGATAACATTTTGCTTAAATATTTCATATAAAATTTAAAATACTGCTATTTGGTAATTCGATTTCGTATAACTTGTGTATCAACACAAATTTAATCTGGTATATGACGAAAATTTGACGAGGGATGTATTCGATCCATATCTACACGCAATCTTCTAACAAAGATGTAACGCTGTATTCTCATTAGTATAATGCTCTCCATACTACAATTTGCGTAATGTGTCTTAATAAATTCAATTGCTCCGGCTAAGCAGATGTCTCTCGGTGTGTAATAACGTAACGCTGGTCCGTATAACAAGCAGTGAGATCAAGCATCGAGCGGTCTTCCATATTATAAAAGTACGTGCGTGGTCTAAGCATCGTGTCTAACAACAGGGATCGCATTACGGAGCGTGAATCACTTAATATTAATCTAGTAGAGCCGCGTAGCGCGACGAAGACTACAACTACAACCGCTAGGAACCCTAACGCAAACTTACGCCCGCCATTACGCGTATCGGACGTCCAGCCAACAAACAAATATACCTTTGACGACGCTCGATAAACTAAAAACGCGTCGTTAAACGTTTAACCGCGGCGCACGGTGCACGAATCGTTTACAAAACGAAAGCTCGACGCTTTGACGGTCGCGCGTTTCGCGCGAAAGCATCCAAACAGTTCGCGCCAGCGCGAGACGTTTAAACTCCATTTTACGATTTAGATCCGTGCTTGTAAAATTTAATAATACGTAAACGGGGGACGTACGAGCTTGTGTATTCAGGGTCAGCATTCACTCTTCGCTCTATTTTGCTCAAATAAATTTTCTAAAATTAGGTGCTTCATCAAAGGACACGTTAAACGCTTTATTGGTTGTACAACAATTTTTAAACGAGAGTTTCTGCTCGTCTTTTGTTTTAAATTAATTTTAAGGGCATGTTGTTAGGGGGACCAAGAGAGTCAATTTAAAAATATTTCCAATGAGAGTCTCTGTCGATTGTCTTTTATTTGAAATTAATCTTTTCCCCCCATTTTGAGGACACGTTGGTTCCGGGCTTGTCAGTGGTAACTCGTGCGAGATATCCGGATAATGAAGTTTGCAGCCGTGAATGAAACTTGAAAACAGACGTCACTCGTTTGGCAGAGGGTATCAATATTCGTGCGGTTACTTCATTCTTCCATTGAAGGCTACGTGAAGTCGGTACGAGAAACGCGAAGTCAGGTTCGCTCGGTGTACCAGACGCGCCGCTGCAACTCTGAATGAATTAGCCTCACCGCGGAAAAACGAGCGCGAAGCGTCACGAATGTAAATTCATCGTCTGCGTGGCATAGCGGGGAACGCGTGCGTTATATAATAACGAATGGTAATGAAAGGCAGCGACTATATGGCGGGGTAGAAGGCTACTGTGACGAGGCAGAAACGAAGAGACAGGTTCAATCGTCGAATTAGACGCGCTCTATCTTCGTCCGCTCGGTAGTTTCGTACGGTGACTCGTTCGCAGACGCGATTACTGCAATAATATGTCGTTACACCTACTTGGGTCAATGGCCCACTTCTCACGGAGGGGGCAGGGATCGCGTAATGTATTGCTCATTTTTCATTCGGCCGGTACGCGACCCGATGAAACGTTACGCAATTCGTGCTACGGTCATCCACGCGGGGATAAATAATCAACCGCGGTTACAACCTGAACAGAAATTCACGCACCCCCATTTCAGGATAGTTTCTTTCAATTTTAGAACGCAGTGTTCCTCGAGAAATTCAGCTACGACATTCTTTAGAGACAATATTGAGTAGAGAAATATTTACGAGAATGATAGACAGAGATACCAGTTTGTAAATTTGGTTCGTTTTCATAAGTGTCGTTGATGAAGAAACGTCGAACGATGGTCCCTCCAGAAAATCTGGTTCGTTTGCGTAAGTGTAATGTATCTTTCCAGGAACATTTAATAGATCAATAAACGTCGGACGTAAAGTTATACAAGACTCGTAGTTAAACGATGCTAATTGCTTCGCGAAAGATTAAAAAATAAGTCCTCGATTACGATCGAAATAATTTTAGAATATAACGCAGTTTAAGCTGTGGACAATATTATAATTTCTTATTTAACAATTCTTAACGACGAGAGAAAACTCTTACTGAGAAACCCAGATCTGAAGTAGACGCGTGTGTAAAAATGGAAGGATGATTCGATCGTACGAAACAGGTGTTAACCACGTGGAATCGATTTTTTTCTTTATAGAGAACGCAGACTGTACTACGATTCGTTGTCGCGAGGGGCAGACGTGTCTGTCGGAGATGAAGTCGGGCCGACCACGTTGCGTGACCTGTACCTATCGTTGTCCCCGGAAGCGGGAGCGCGTCCGGAACCGGACACACCGTGATCGAGATCCATCGGCGACCATGTTGTGCGCCACCAACAATATCACCTATCCCAGTTGGTGTCACATCGTCAAGGACGCCTGCGTTACCGGCTTCGTCCTCGAGACGCGACACGCCGGCCCCTGCAACGCCTACGACACCTCTCCTCTTTACATTGGTAAGTCCTCGACACGCGATTACCTAGATACTCTCGTAGTCAATGAATGCTGTTCGTTGTCGGCGAAACCGTTGAATAAATAAGGTGCATAAGTTCGACCATTCGCGCGCGCCATCGGTTTATCGAACGAACCCCATCCTCCCTCGACCACTAGCGATCTCGTTTTCAGGCTAAAAATCACCGGGAAATTTTATTTCTTGGAATTAGCCTCGACTAACATGGCGAAGAAAAATGTTAAGATAAAGGAATAATAGTTTCGATCAGAGGGTCAACTTTGGCTCCATGCTAGGAGATGGCCACGATTCTTATAAAAGATGAACTTTGTTTCAATTCTCAACGAATTACAGACTGCACTTAATATACAGAAATATATAAGAAATATGTTTAGGAGGCAACCCTTTAATAAGAATGTTAAATGTGTACGATAAATCGCACGATGAAAATTATTTCCACGAATGTTTCATAAACGGAGATATTCTTTTATGTGTCTTTAACAAGAATAAAACTATATGGAAAGCATCCTTTTCATATGGATAGACGCGAGAAATATTGCTCTATAAAGTTTATGCCCGCGTGTGAAGTATTCTAGAGATAGATTCAGGACTCGAGGACGACAAAAAATAGTTAGATAAACATGTCAGATATAATCCTGTTTAGAAGTTGCAGCCTTTCAGGCGAGTCCTGTTCTATGCTTCAACAATTCGTCTAGGAAACGAAGATAGCGACTTTGGATCTTATTTATCTGCGGGACGCGACAGCTAGTGCAGGATTTTACTGATCTTTGAACAGTTTCCTTGTTGTAAAGATCTTTGTCTCTTATAATATTCGCGTTGGAATGCTTTCGACGCTATCATCTGCGTTCAAATTAAAAGTCGTTATATATCTAACCATTCACATAACGCATATGCAAAATATCTTCAACATATCGAACCCCTCAAATTGTCCACGAAAGCGAGACTTTGTTTCTGGACAATTGGAAACATATCCGCAATTTGTCATTGATTTCCACAGCTTAGTTAAAATTTATATAAAAATCAATTTTGAAGCAATGTGTGTATCTTCACGAATATTTTAAGCTATAATAGCCCATCGTTTATAGATATTAGTCTTTTTATTTTTGTCCATTGCACGAAACACTGTGCGTCAACTATCCAGAGACTCGTGTTATCGTTTATAAACCTCGTCTGAGAAAAGAGTCTGACCGTTTTCGATAGCAAACCCAACGTTCACCCCCTCCTGGAACAATAACAGCGTGTCGGTGGACGCTTCCATTTCGATTCGATCTCGCGTTTAGCGCGGAATCGACGAGGTTCGAGGGCCCGCGGAGCGTTTCCCATGCGGTGATAAAGCGGAATACGCCGTCTGGTCATTTATCTTTTTCTTTCGGAGGCGTGGACCATTCATGGAGCCGTCCGCGGAGCGAGCGATCGTCGTAATCCAGCGTGGAATTCGCCTTGTTCGAGTCGCCTCTGAGAATATACGCGCCCACGCGGTCGCTTGTCTCGACCGTTAAACACAGTCAATCGCGAAAACTCGCCGGAGAACTAGCCGTGGAATTCTAGAGTTCCGCTTGCGGGTCGTTTCTCGCCGCGTACAATCTCATTTCTCATACGCTTCCTACCATTGTCGCGTTTCGACGGCCATGGGAACGTCCGGGGACTTAACGAATTTGCTGAAACGCGTCGCGTACCACTCGCCACGTTCCCCCGGGCGTTATACCGCGGACGCCATCGAGCGTTTTATACCAGTTGGACACCCGGCTGGACGAGGGTGGAAGCATGCTCGCGAATACGCTACCGCGCATAAATACCTGCACGCCTCGCTCGCAAACGCGTCACAAATTTTTTCTTTTTTTTCTTTTCACCAACGTATTGTTCAGTGTTTTCGTACGACGTTTGCTTGAAATAATTTCGCGGTTGTTTCATATATAAGTGGGTGTCTTGATCATACACCGTGGAAAGATTAAGAAGCGAATTTATCGAGTCAATCCAGTACATTCCTCCCCTTTAAGGTTTGAAAAAACATCTTTATACTTGATTTTTTTATGTATCAGTACTAAGTATGTGTATGAGTGGGTGTCCCAACTGTGGAAAGATTAAAAAACACCTTTGTGCTTTTACTTAAAAAAAAGGGGTAAATATTTTTGAAAAATTAAATAGAATTCTTCGATACGAGAATAGAATAATTTTAGGGAGTGTTTCATCGCGTTAAAAAAATATAGATCCGCGTGCTAAGACTTTCTTTTGTCCGGCTCAGCGCGTTTGTATAGACGTAGAAACCTGTTGCATGTCGCGCAGAAATAGGAAGCTTTATGCATCGATTTATAGCACTCTAAATTAACCATTTTCCTACTAAGTTTACAGTCCCCGTTGATCTCAACGTATACAACGGGAATAGAATTTATGGGAACCGCTAGAGCGTTTTACTTGCCACGTATATTTACGCTAACACCGGAGCTATGCTAATTTTTACTTTTCCTGACACGGAAAATCTATTCAGGTTGTCTCTAGAAAATTTTCGATGAAACGTACGATATATTCCGCATATATTTTCGATAACCGTCGTCTCGGACAATAATACGCAGAATGCGTGCCTTTCTCTGAATTATAATGGGTCCGAACGCGATCGAGCGCGAGATCCTTTTATGCTGCAAAGCGCGCGTGTATCGTAATTACATCAGGAAACGATACAATGACAGTTCACTGTTACGCGAATTATAAAAGAGATTGTAACACGTTCCCGAACAGAAGCTTTTGAATAGTTTTATTGTCTATACGCAGTAAACCATAAAGACTGAGTAACGGTGAAACATTTGCGTTTGCGCTAAACCCGTGTACAGATAAATTGAATTCTGCAACGGGCATTTAATATTATCATTTATATTCAAGACGCGCGATATAGGTTCTTTCGATAATAAATAATATATTACACGGACGGCATTTATAATCTCCGGGCCCGCGATAAAATTAAGAAACACGTGTATCACGGTTTACACGAACAGATATTAATAATTTCCTTACTCCTTCTTTATCGCTGCAAATTGAAAACTCGATCATCATCTTGTAAGTACTAATAGGCGCGTTTAAAACACGGCGAAATTAAAATCGAGAAGAAAAACAAATTGGCAAGTTCATGATTTATATAGTGAAGTTTAAACGTGTATATTGTTCGTGTGCTACCTACACGATATTAAATGTTATAAATTACCGACGAGCACGTGTACAACGAGACGAATTCGAAATTGAATTATGGAGAATAAATCTGTTTAAAGTAGTCGTGAAAAAGTAAATATTGAATCTCGAGCGTCACTCGATTTTCAATTAAGATAAAAGCATCAGTAGTGAGCACCATTAAGGAAGTTTCTCTCCGCGTAAAGTACTATGTTTCATTGCTTCTTGTTGGACTGCCATATCAAATCGCTAGAATAGATAGAATGATTTTCTCCCTGAATGATAATAGAAAAATCAGTGTACTATTTTTTCCTCGCGTTATAACACGAGAAGATAGAGTATTTCATGGCGTATGCACAAACAGTATCTTTTCACGGGTGATGGAGAATCTGGCTGGCGCTCACTCCAGTCACGTTTCAACGTCCTAATTTATTTACGCGCGCGTTGTGACTACAAATCTAGCCCTCATCAGCGCAAAGTAAAGAAATATCCTACGAGAGCATACAGTAATTCACAGAACACGCGTGCACAAGAAAAGAAACGTATTTTCTCAAAAGGAGAAATTAAGACCGTGAAATTAATTAACTTTGTGATCTATGGATGGCTTCCGAGCTCGAGTTTCAACGAGATTCATGAAATCACGCCCGGTTTTCTGCGACTCTCGTCAACGACCACACGCTGACTAACCAGATCATGCACTTCTATCCTTAATTCCCATGTATCCTCTAAATTGTAATTATTCAACTTCGTTTGCAATTCCAATCGAGCGACTCATTCGAATACTTAATTTTCGGATACGATTACATGGTTTAGGTGGAACGTAAAATCAGTTAATTATTGTAAATAGGAATGGAGGGTCCTCGAGGATTTTTAAATTAAACTGTATCAACGAATAATAATTTATATTTTTAAAAAGACGAAGACGAATAATATCTTTAAAAAAGGGGGGTTGAAACGTCTGAACTGCAAGACACGACAGTTAGCAATATTAAGTTGCACTCTATTTTCCCGTGTACCGATCAATGAATTTTCGAGAGTTCGTTCTATGATTTCCTAGCGCCAACATAACAGGTTCTGGGTGTCAGGCGTGCCAGCTAGAAGGTTAATAACGAAATTAACTTATCTTGGTCACGGGAGGGGGTGTTGGGAGGGGCCAAGAAATTAAAATAATCAAGTTGACAGTGTTCGTTGTTGCAACGAGTCGTGCACGGGTCGGCGGAGGCAAACACGAATCGCGGCCATCGAGAGCGAGATAGGATCGCGTTCGCGGCCGATTCGCAGATCGAAGCGATGCGATCGTTGAAGAAACTCGAAAGTTACCGTACCGCGGGTTGATTTAATAACGATCCCTCGGTTGTCCGTTTGTTCCAGAGGAGGACAACACATCGAGCAACTATGGCGTCGATCTGGCGGACGAGGACGCGAGATTCGAGGACGCCGAATCGGAGTCGTTATCGTACAACGGCCAGACGCATCGTTCCCTGGCGTTATCGTAGCGCGCGATCGATCGAGATCGGTCGATCCACCTCGCTGCAAGATAAGTCGTAGATCCTTCTATGTCTCACTTCTCTCTCTCTGTCTATGTATCGACTGTTTAGGGGGATCCACGAAGCGACGCGCGATTTTCGAGCCAGAGTTATCGAACGCGCGAGACTTCTGGGGGATCTTGTGGACAAAGAACGACGCAAAACCGGACACGTAGCGCTTCCTACAGCGGGATGCATTTCGAAAGGCACGGCCATTAATTCTCGATACGGGATAAGCTAGATTAAGGGCGGATCAGTATTCTTTTCTCCGTTCGCGGAGGAGCTGAGCGTGGAAAGCTGTGCGAATCGAGACGGATCTACGCTTTCGCGGTCGCGGATCGCGTTTCTTGGACCCTGGAACCACTGGCTGTCTATTTATCATTAACGTTTGACCCGGAGTAATGATTCTTGAAACGAATCGCGAAAGACGACGTTCGTCTTGAGAATCGTTGCTGTAAAGACTTGTTAAGAGAATATTTAACAAAGCAAAATAAATTGCAGTGGCTCCCAAGGATCACCTCGACACCTGAATACGCGTTGTCGGTGTTCCGTTAGGCGAACCGTTCGATCGCGAAAGCGTCGATATCGTCGTATGGACGCGGTTCGCGATCTTCCGAGGGACTTTGAAGTTAGTTGTTCTGTGGCGTAGCGATGTACTTGTTATCACTCGACGAGCGTAGATCGGACACATTGAATCTTAGAGCCCAAAGAGCATAGGACGCGTGTAAACCGTTTTGCGGCAACACTCGCAGAATTGATCACGATCGCGTTTATTATACGGTGCATAGGCGAGTGTTTTTTTTTTTTTTTTTTTTAAATTCAACGGACGTCGCACGACTGTTTATCGTGATCGTCAGCCTGATTCTGGTAACGTGACCGTGACACGAGTACAGAGCCAGGAGTTTGCTCGAGAAACAACGAGATTCCAGCCTGTCGAAGAATCGTAAAACGAGAATGCTTGATTACTGATTCTTCGGGGGTTTGCTTGTTTATTTATTTTTGAAAGTTTCTCAGCCAGCTGGAATCCGGGAGTTCTCTTCCTCTTGGAGCGTCCGGTACCGTCCAGGATAGCTTCTAAAGGTAATTTCGCACGAAAAGAACTCGTTTACGTAGACCTCGACCTTCCACGAGTTTGAGAAATTGACGAACGTCTTGTAGAATGCAAGCTAGCTTCGAGGACACAAGTTTCGTACGATAGAAATTCAGATTTCAGTTTCAAGACTGGACGGAATGAAAGACAACATTTCTCAAGATTCAGTTTCTTAAATTTCTTCACTTTTAAATAAACCGTAACGCACGAATTCCTTAAACGTATTTATTGAAAGCCACGCGTGAACGATCGAGGAATTATTTATTTTTTTTAGCGAGTAACTGTAATATGGACGAATGATAAAAACATTTCTTTTCTGAAGACAGTTCGATTCTCTTACGTGGAGTTAATAACCAAGAGAAAAATAGCGACTAATTTTGTGCGGGTCAGTATTTACTGTTCAGCGTTGCGTGACGGAGTCACGTAGATTCACAATCAACGAATAAGCTGAAACTCGATTAACCCGTCTGAATGCAACTTTTCAGGCATCAATATTTATGCACGCTCGTAAAGTATTCCGAAACTATTAAAACGTTCTATTCTACTCGTAAAAATGTTTGATTTAAGAAAATGAAGGAGCCATCTTCTTTTTGTTTCACGGATTCGACTCGAGGGAAAGAAACGAAATAAACGTTCGATCGCGAAGCTTCAAAAAGATAGTACACGTTGAATAATTTATTGATACGTCGCGAACAGGTCGAGTGAGTTGATTCGTAGACGCGTCGCGGATTTGCAGTATTTTTTCCTTAACGGTATCGAAGATTTCAAAGATGCGAGCGTGATCATCATATCAAATTTGAGATACGCGATCGAATTCGAGAAATCGTTATCGATGGATCGGTGTTGATAATTTTTCATCTCCATCAGTATTTTTTTGTCTTTTTTTTACCGCGTATTTCTGTGGTTGTGCGTTGAAAACTATGGTGAAATTGTTTTTTTCCTTTCCTCTCGTATTTTATCGGGTTTTTACACAGACGACACAAAATTGTCGCTAGAATTCGATTTTAAGTTTTAAGGAAACGTTATCGTGTAATAAATTATTAGAACGTCGTGTGTTCATTAATTTAATCGCTTAGCATTAACGATCGATGATTGATATTAGAGTTAAACGAGTTTCGCAGCTCCTTTTGAAATAATTTTTCGTTAAGTTTTCGAGTGATCGTCCGCGTGAAACTTCATCGGTAAAACGGGCTAACGGTACGCGTCACCTATTAAATAACAATCGGAATTTCACGAAGGTACGCTCAATGTCTTTCACCGGCAATAACGTGTCTGGGGTAACTTTATCTGCACGATGGGAAATATTTTATACTTAGGAATGACGCTTAACGATCGCGGGCAGTTATACATTCTTAAACGCGCGCAAAATATTAGACAGTCTATATCTTCGATATTAGTCTGAAAGAATTTCGATCGTTACAGTGCCTCCAGTCTGGCGCCAGTAGAATTCACATAATATTCGTACTTAATTTATTTTAGTTTTACGGCCAGCGTTAAGAGCTCCACTTATTCGCGCGCATTTTATCGACCGCGGTCACGTATCTATCATTTTTCTTCTTTGGCAATCATATTTTGTCGACGTTCTACGCGTGTCATTTCTCGCTACGCAGTTACGATGCAGGTTCGTTAAGAAGAGATCGCTTTGCAAATGAAACACCGCGAGTACGTGCAATTTATCGGGAAATGATAGACCGGACGCCGCCAGTTGTGCCGGGAAGTATACTTTATTCCCATTATTAATCTTCGACGATTCCATTAAAATCTGCGGGGAGTAATATCTTTATTAATTGAGGTAAAAATTTTACTACGAGATCAACTTCCTCTCTGTATCAAATTTCTCTGTATAATTATTTTTATTACTGAATTTTTTAAATTGAAACGATGGTGATAGGTGTGTCAATTTTTCACCCACCCCTGGGAAAAATTTTAATGGGAGATTATACAGAGTAAAATAAGACGAAAATCAAGAATATCAATTTTTTGATCGAAGCTTCGTTAAAAAGTTATTAACACTCAAAGTTCCGTCTGTAGAACGTCAATTTGTCCACCTACTCGAATTTTTTTCTCGAAAGTGTGTAGGAATTTGGGGGTATACGTATTGACCGAAAATGATTGCAATTGACCCCTGCAACCGAAAATAATTTTTGCAGAACGATTTCCAATTTTTTAATTTTGTTGAAAAATTTGTCCACTTACTGAATTTTTTTCTCGAAAGTGCGTAGGATTTCGAGGGTATGTCTATTCACTAAAAGTGATTGTAATTGACTCTTCCAACCAAAAATAATTTTTTTAGTACGATTTGAAATGTTTTACTTTTGTCGAAAAATTTCACACATTCTCGAATTTTTTTCTCGTAAATGCGAAGGATTTCGGGGGTATGTCTATTCACTGAAAATAATTGCAATTGACCCCCGCAACCGAAAATAATTTTTGCAGAACGATTTCCAATTTTTTAATTTTGTTGAAAAATTTGTCCACTTACTGAATTTTTTTCTCGAAAGTGCGTAGGATTTTGTGGGTATGTCTATTCACTAAAAATGATTGTAATTGACCCCTGCAAACGAAAATAATTTTTTCAGAACGATTTGAAATTTTTTAATTACTTTCTAACGAAGCCTCAATCAAGAAATTGATATTCTTGATTTTCGTCTTATTTTGGCCTCTAGGATCTCCGATTAAAATTTTTCCCAGTATATACTTTTCTCGTAAAATGACCCCAAAATCTGTGAGGAGTAATATCTTTATTAATTAAAGTAAAAATTTTACTACGAGCATTTGACAAATTATTTTGATTACTGAATTTTTAAAATTGAAACGATGGTGACGGGAGTGTCAGGCAACGTTCGATGCAGATACGAAAATTTATCGAGGCTAGATCTGGAATTCTATACATATATATATATATATCTTTCTCGTAAAATGACCCATCTTTCGACGAGACGCCAGTGGAATTCTAAACTCTCGTTTTTTCTGTCCGCCGTCCACAATTTTTATCCGTTTCTTTCCTCGGGGGACCATGAGACTGCGATTTTGCGGAATGCAAACTTCTCATGGCTGCCATCCTCGCGAAACAATTAACGTTCCTGACAGGCACAAAAGTGTTCCAAGAAAACGGGCAGACGTCGCGACACCCAGCATTGCAAAAATACAAGATTGGAATTACTTTGCAGCGGCGTAAAACCGTAACTGCGCGGTGGCAAAAAATCGCATTTTAATTCGCCACGATCCGTTCGTTCGCGACGACCAAATTACGCGACGTGACATTTTTATTTTCTGGAATCGGGAAGATTTTCGACGCGCCTCGAACGTACCGCCAAGCGATCTCTTCCGTCGACAACGAATCGCGAAGGAACAATCGTAACACGTACGATTTACAATTGGAGTTGGGTGAATTTTTATTCTCGCGGGTAGCCCGTTAATTTTTCTCTCTTTCTATTTTTTTTTTTTCTTTTTTTTTTTACGCTTGAATATTATCTTCTCGAGAGACGCGATCAAATCAATTATTTATTCGTTACTTTTTATCTGTTTCGTTGTTTTAAGTGAAGTTAGATTTTATTTTAAATGTATTCTAGCGAGTCGAAAAGCAGACGTTTGTTATTTACAAGAAGAAAAGTAAAAAAAATATTGAAAATTAAATATATACGCGAATTATGTTAAAATGTATGTAATTTTCAAATTATATGTACGGTAGTCGTGTAGCTTATAAGTTGTTTCGATTATAAACGCGTAGGATGGGGCCGTGATTCGTGGAAGAAATTGATCGAGAACTTTTCGAGAAATGGATCTTGATCGTGTCTTGACGGAAACTATCTGACGTATTATTTCTGCTTGTGTTTATCACTTTTTCCTTTACTTTTTAATTCCGTGCTCGTTCTATTCTCGTACGTCCTTTCCATTCTATTTTCCGGTTTTCTGTATATAAATTCCTTATACATAAATTTTTTTGCAATCCCCTCGCGCTTAACCACTCCTCCATTCATTCAGCTAAGTCCAATCGAGACTTTATTGTTGCACGAACTGCTAAAAATACCAGCGAATTTTTGGAATTCCAAAAACGATCGCTAATTTCAATATTCTTTCAAACTTTAATTCCCGGAATTTTACGTTATTTTCGATCGAAAATCGTTTTTATCGTCTGCATACACTTTTGACCAAACGATGGCCGTTTTGTCTTCTATATTACTAGTCTATACGAATAATTATGGTAAAAAAAACTAATTCTTCGTACCACGAAGCAGTGTTCCATCGAACAAGATAATACAAGTTACACAAGCAGAAACGAAAATAACGAGTCGTATCAAGACACGGTCCAGTCTCCGCGAAATCTAAAATTCGATTTTCTCGAAAAACGTAGCCACGCGCGAGGAATTCACAGCCTCCGCGATTATCGCCACGAATTTCGCGCGATACGTTCAAGGAACGGCACGAAAGTTGCTTGAATTGTTACAGTTCGTAGGAACGAAAACCCAACACGAATCCAATCCATATATTATAGATATTTATTTTTCATTTACGCGCGGCGACGTGCGGAGCGGTACGCAACGATCAGCCGCGATAAATTCACGCTCATTTCGACATTTATGCACTCGTACGGTCCAGTATTCGATATTTCCACCTATGCAACATTGTCTCGTGCATTCTTTTCATCTATTCCGCGGCCAGGATCCGAACTAGACGCTTTGGTCGTTCGTATCTCGAGGGAATCTGACTGTCATCGTTCGCGATCGGGAAAACGCGCGACGGTGCCGAGGAAAATAAAAAGAAAAAAAAAAATGAAACGAAACGGAGAACAGGAATTCGCTTAGGAGCAAAACGAAAAGAAAGCGTACAGCTATAAACGGTCAAATTCATTTAGATGGAAATGCAATTGTATGCGATAATATAGTTCCTGTATTATACATAACATATATAAATTTAATATAAATTATTATATAGTAGCTTTATATTACTAATAGTAGTACGTTATTGCGAACCAAAAATTACACGTGTCACGCATTGATATCTGTCGTAATTATTCGTCGATGTCGGTTCAAGGTGTATAATCCGAGCGTTTTCGAGGTTCGAGGATATTTAATTGAACGAGGGGAGGGGGAAAATATGAAAAACGTCAGATAGTGTCGATAAGGGACAATAAAGAAAACCTAGAAGATAATTATTGTACGCGCTCCTTTTTTTCATTTCTCTTTTATCGGGGCTGAACGGGAATAATGGTGAAAGAGAAACAGAGACGAAGAAAATCGATGGGAATTTAGCGATTTCTTCGCTCCCACGTTCTGGTACTTCGAATTTTATACCTTTGGAATGGATATTAATTAATTTATAAACCTCGTCGTTTGTTTTATCTGATACGTACTCGAGCTTTATCTCGTCTATTGGCGATCGAGAGAAGGATAGTTGATTTTTTTTTAAATTCCTGATTACTTCGCGCATCGACGACCGGAGGAAAGATGGCGGATCTTTCACGATTTCGAACGTTCGATGAAACGTAAAATTTTTTAGCGAAGAGCGTAAAGTTTGTTGACGATTTGCGATAGGTGAAGACGAAAGGACTGATCGGTGATTTAATGACATTAGTGCCAATTGTAGTCACGTATATAATATGTAGATCCAGTAATTTCAATTATTGGTATAAATTAAACACTCGAATCCTTCGCTAAAAACGTCGTGCTCATTTTTTTAATTATATTTCTACGCGTAAACGTACGTTGTTGTGCACTGTGCACAATTTGAATACCATTTTATTCGTAATAATTATTATATATTTAACACTAGATTTACGGAAGCCGTCAATTTGACGGATGGTTGATTCCATATTTTAAATTGCAGAACACGTAAATATTATTTTTTAACAACATATGTTGAATTTGATCGTTGCAATGGCATGAATACATATTCTAATTAAAAAAAAAATCGTATTGTAATATCAATGATCAATGCTCGTAAATCTAGTGTTAATTCGGCAGACATTGACAGAAATGTGTCGAACGATAAAACGTCTATCAGTGGTTCCAAATAAAACTGCAGGATGTGGTACAATTCGTGGTATAACAGGAAACAAAATTCAAACGTGCAACAATTTTGTATTCATTCCTAAGTTCATCGATAAATTAAATAATTTATTCCAATGTTTCGGAACAATCGGTACTTTGTAAATAGAAACAGCAATTTATTTTGGGTCTTCGCACGCAAAAATATTCTCATCGTTGATTAACGCATGGGAGAATTAAAACAGAAATTCTCGGGCTTTCTCGTTACGTTGCAAATAAAAAGTCTCTTTTCCAAGTTAAATCTGCCAGGAGATACGCAAAACGTAATTGAATACTTTTTAAATTTGATTGTCCAGTGATAAAGTTTCGCACGAGAATTCAAATAAATTTCGAAAAGAACCCTAAAGCAACTTTGTTGCAATCTAATTCATTCCAAAGGAAATGTGGAATGTAATAAATTTCTGAGTGTCCAATTATTTCTTATTCACCCTGTTGAATTTGTTCCCACGCTAGTTTTCTACAATTTAATTCTAAGTTATCGTAGACATTGTACATAATTTTGAAAAAACCAACAGCGATAAATATCTAATTTGAGATTTTTTTCTCTGCTAAAGGAGCGTACTTTGAACTGAAACGTTGGATTAAATTATTTATAGAAATATTATCTAAAAATCGGAATAATTACGCCGCCTATTATATAAACATATTAATTGATACAATTCGCGTATTCTTAAATTGTTATATCTCCATATTGCGTGCACGATTTTCGAGTAATTTTTATATCTTTATCGTTGCCTTGTATTCATCATAATTGTAAACGTTATTTATTTTTTTTTAAATATCATTTTAAGTTAGATAACGATCGAACGAAATTTTCTATTTGATTCTTTACTCTCGCTTAACTTATTTAAGTAAGTGTACGCGATTAAATTATGACGTTAGTATTTATCAAGACTGTATTCTCAGTTAATTTATTGTAATACTCATTTCGACATTTGTACTATTTTCCATATACTCTGCGTGTCGAACAAGATAAAAAAAAGAGTACGTGCACGTGTGCAATGAATGCAAACCTTGATCGGAGAAAAATGCATCGGTTAAACGAATATAAACGAAGACAATGTCTTTTGATTGAGAATTTACAAAAAAAAAAAATATAAATGGGACTTCATTTTTGTGGTTGACACAATGGCTACAGGATAATTTAAATTTGTAAATTTATAGTATAGTGTTATCGCAAATTTGTGTTTACGTATGCAAAGTTCGAGGAGACTTTGATCGTGATGTGTTGGATATTACGTCGCAGATGGCACGATATAAAATATGTTCACGATGATACAATAAATGTAGCGCGATGCGTTGAACTTGTGATATAATGTAGAAACAAAGTAGAGATACAATAACGGCGAGTTACTACGATGCAAAAATTCTTCTAACGCGCACGTTAATTTGCAGTACACGCTTGTAATTAATTGTGGTCTTAGATACGTCCGAAAATACTAACAATTATAACGATAATAAACTCTTGCATCCATTAAAAATCTATATACTAAATGTAATTTAAAAAAAAATTACAATCTAAGCATTTTAACAGCCAAGCAGAAATAAATTTATGGAAATTGTGAAAACTCACCGAACGGACAACTTCACGATGAGAAAAAGAATTCCCTCTAATTGTAAGTAGTTAAATAATATTCTAAACAATGGAGATTCTCAATTTCCCTTGCTCGTACGTATTTTTATTAAATTAAATTTCTAATACCATTGAAGCTGATGTAAGCTAAATGTAAACTTCTGGGTGGTTCCAAAAAAAAATGAAATGAAACATCAAAATATTCCTATTGTTTTTCTCACGATTCTTTGCTACTTTTCTTCGTGAAAATTCTTGGAACCACGTATGAGTGTTAGAAACAGTGAAAACTAAGAAATGGGAATTCTTTGAAACGCGAACACCCTGATTGTACTCAGTGGCGGATTGAATATTGTATTTTAATCGCATTAAGCGACAAATGTTGAATAATCATGGAAACTAACATTTCTATATATAATTTTTAGGCGTGGGATTTTTGAATTTTTCTTATTTTTATTCCCCCCTTTGTTGAGTTGATTCTGAATCCGTCACTGGATGTACGCGCTGATATCCTTTCGTCTCTGCGATTATAGCTTAAGTTCAAGGATTTACGCCATTTTTCACGATACGTATCCGACATGGTGCACGACCCGTGTAAACGTTCGTGCATTTACACAGCGACAGAGCGACGTAAACGCGAGAGAAGTAAAATCCGTGTAAATTAAGTGTCTCGTTAGCTTCCAAGGAACTGTAACGTTAAGTTATCGATCGACTGGAGCGAAGAGGATCGAGAAACGTAGAATAGACCGGGGCAGGACGTTTAAGAGATAGAAATCCGTGCACGTCGAAGTACCTACATTAAAATAATTGACAGACGAATCATTGTAAAGGGTAATACAGTCGGGACGGGCGTTTCCGCGGGAGACGTTAAATTAATTGATCGCAAAACAGGATAGCCTATAATCTTTAATTAATTTCTAAGTTTCAAGAATGCTTTATCTAGGCGGTAACGAGATGGATTAACTTATAAATAAATGAATAAATTTATATGTATACATATTATATGTATTCGCAAGACGCGTGTCTTGTTGTATGTATATATACATATGTGTCTGTATGTGTGTATGTGGATGTATATACATACATATACATATATATCAGTAGCAACCTACTTTCAAGACTGTGGAACATCATAGGTGTATAAATGTTTAAATAAATTATTATAACGTGGCAATCAATCGTCGACGTCATTATTCCCACCAACCCTCCCTCGATCTATGTCAAATACATATCTGAAGATAATAGTATAAGATTTTGTAGCAAAGTAACAAAATTTAATAACATTCGATCTAAATAAAATGATTGAAAAGAAGAATTAAAAACGCAGTTATTGAAAAGTGAAGAATTTCCTAAACTAATAAATTCAGTAGCTTATCGATATCAAGCTTGCATACAAGCGCAGGTACACCATTTTGAAACGAGATTTTAAAAATACTACCTGATTTAATTAGTAACTCATTACATCTAAGAATTGGAAATATTACGAGTTACGAATTATAAATATAAATTCTTTTCCGTACAAATTAATGCAAGTTTACTAATTGCATTCCTATGCAACGTAATATTCTTTACCGCTAAAAGCTTCTTTAAACTATCACCGACATCGATGCGAATTTCAAACGCAAATATAAATTTAAAAATATAAATCCAAACAGAGATCATTATGAAAACAACTCGTACGACTAATGTTTTGTGCAATAGTATTATTTTAAATTAATTTGTCATTTATAAATGACGTATTGTGCACGGAAATTTGAACTTTATCAAAAAATGGCGCAACAGTATAAAATGGTGGCAGCACCTGTCGATTCGATTGCACGGACATCTAACGCACGTTGTTGCACCTCCTACGGTTGCATCATACGTGATATGTTCGTCGATACAGTTTGTAAACAATATATTAGAAAGTCGTGACAATAAATAATTTTATAATGAATAATGAAGGGAACGTTTTTAGATAAAATTATGAAAATAGTATTTAGAATTTAAGAATTTCATTTCCGTAGTTTTATCGTCGAATGTAGCGAACAGTAATATACTTTATACCAATTCATGCAATACGTAAATATATCGTAATGTATTTAATACTTTTTATTACTTTGTGCGTCTGCCAAATAAATTACGCTTTGGAGGTTTGTATAATCGGGCGCGTGAGATTGATCAAATGCTTAATCGTGTACTGATGAGAACCTAACCTTTGCAGATGCCGGAAAAATTCGTAAAGACTGGTCATTCAAACAACTGGGCGGTGTTAGTTGACACCTCGCGGTTTTGGTTCAACTATCGACACGTTGCGAATGTATTATCGATATATCGCAGCGTGAAACGTTTGGGAATACCAGACTCGCAAATTATTCTGATGATAGCAGACGACATGGCATGCAATCCGAGAAACCCTAGGCCAGCTACTGTGTTCAATAATGTCAAGCAACATATTAACGTTTACGGAGACGACGTAGAGGTAGATTATAGAGGCTATGAAGTTACGGTAGAAAATTTTGTGAGATTGTTAACCGGAAGGTTAATGCCGGAAACACCAAGATCCAAGAAATTACTGACAGACGAAGGGTCTAATATTTTGATCTACCTAACCGGTCATGGTGGGAACGGATTCTTGAAGTTCCAAGACTCCGAGGAAATCACTAGTCAAGAACTCGGAGATGCATTGGAACAAATGTGGCAGAAACGAAGATACCATGAAATTTTATTCATAGTCGACACTTGCCAGGCAAGTTCAATGTATCAGAAGTTTTATTCCCCAAATATCTTGGCAGTTGCATCTAGTCTGGTGGGAGAAGATTCACTTTCTGTATGTAATGATACTAGTTTTATATTTTGCCATTTATAGGTATTAGTTATACAATATAAATATTAATTATTTCTTACAGCATCACTTGGATCCTTCTATCGGTGTTTACATTATAGATAGGTACACATATCATGTATTGAATTTTCTAGAGAATGTAGAACCTTCTAGTACCAAAACTTTAGGAGAATTTGTAAGTTCTTTGATTAGAAGTTCTTGGTTCAAATTAAATTTATTATACTAATAAGGAGTCTGTATTCCAGCTCAAAGTATGTCCAAAGCATTATTGCTTATCGACGGTCGGAGTAAGAAAGGATTTATTCAGAAGGGATCCTGATAAAGTACCAGTCACAGATTTCTTTGGGTCACTGAGGCCCGTAGAATTAACCACAAGTATAATGATCATTAAGCCTCGTTAGGTATAGGTAAAATAAAACCGGCAGGAGAATATTTTTAAGCTGCACAATTTTCCGATATAACGCATTTACGTACTGTCTAGAAATAAATAATAAATTGTATAAAAAAAATTCATACTACCATTATTTTAAGAATATTTAAATAAATACATTAATACAGTATATAGAAATGATTAATATTAATAAAAGAAGATGTTTCCTAATACGTCCTAATCAGTTCTTACCTATTATTCCTATGCGCGGGAAAGTCGCGCTCAAATTTACGGTAGGAAAGAAATATATCGAAGCAAACTCACATCTGCAAGCCAGAACACGGGAATTCCTTACAAAAAATAATTCATTGTTGTAAGCTGTAGCAGCCGCCCGCCAAGACAAGGTACTTTTGAATTTTCCTATAGGCTTCACTCGCTCACTTAGTTCGTCCGTGATGCTCCCTGTGTAGGAGTGAAGAAAGTGTGACCCATCGGTGGTACATGATTTGCACAGCCATCTACGGCAAAAGCTTGGGCGTTTTAGCACCAGGGGGATTGAGGTTGTGGCCAACGTCCGTAGCTTTGGCGCTGCACACGATGCCGTTGTTCTTCTGTAAAACAGTCGAGTCAATCATCAAAAACAATTGAGTACGGCCTACCGTTATTAGCTCTCGACCTGCGCACACGTGTTTGTAGACGAAGTTCGCTGTTACTGTTAATTGCTGATTGTTACTGTTAATTGTTGATTGTTACTGTTAATTCTTGTTGAAAATAAATATTGTGAAAACCACATCCGCTGTCTAATCACCCCTTAAATATTAGTATAGCAAAAGAGTTATAAGGTCGAAAAATGAGCGCCATCTGTCGTTGAAAATGACGAACTATTCCACGCTATTTGGGCGTTTTGCTGACCACTGCTGACCACTGCTGATACTTCTGACAACGTGTAACGATTACAACTTGTTACTGCTTGCTCCTGCTGACCACTCCTGACACTTCTGACAACGTATCACGATTACAACTTGTTACTGCTCGCTCCTGCTGGCCTCTGCTGACCCCTGCTGACCACTGCTGATACTTCTGACAACGTGTAACGATTACAACTTGTTACTGCTTGCTCCTGCTGACCACTCCTGACACTTCTGACAACGTATAACGATTACAACTTGTTAATGCTCGCTCCTGCTGGCCTCTGCTGGCCTCTGCTGACCCCTGCTGACCACTGCTGACCACTGCTGACCTTTGTCGACAACTTTTGATATGATGTATATGTATTAAAGCCTTGTACAATGTAAATCTATAGCAATAAATGTTATAATTTCAAAGAATTCTATGTCTTCTCGTCATTTTCACCTTCCTCTACTTCTCCAAAGCATTCCCATAGTTATAAGATACCTGCCACCTCTTCCCATATCATGTCCTCCTAATAACAAAGTCTAAAACGAACCTAAAACCGCCACCGCCATACCCACCGTCGATAAACGATACTTATTCATTTATTCGCTTGAAAAATTTCCAAGTTCCTCGAAAAGATTTGAGAAAAAGTCCTGAAACAACTGGAAAGTCCTGAAACAGCTGGAAAGTCCTGGAACAGCTGGAAAGTCCTGAAACAGCTGGAAAGTCCTGAAACAACGAAAAAGTCCTGAAACAAGTGGAAAGGCCCGAAACAGCTGGAAAGTCCTGAAACAACTAGGAAACCCTGAATTTTTAGCAAAGTTCTGAGTTTCAGGGCTTTCCACCTGTTTCAGGGCTTTCCAGTTGTTTCAGGACTTTCCAGCTGTTTCAGGACTTTCCTGCTGTTCCAGGACTTTCCAATTGTTTCAGGACATTCCTATTGTTTCAGGACTTTTTAATTTTTGGTTTTGGCAGCAAGTACGAGAGTTGGACACTTCGGGAATCCAATTTTAACCGGAAAACGGTCTCTTAGAACTAAGGCAATTATTTGGAGAGGAAACGAAAGGTAAAAATGATGAGAACACATAGAATTCTGTTAAATTATATCATTTATTGCCATAGATTTACATTATACAAGGCTTGAATACTTATACATCATGTCAGAAGTTGTCAATAAAGGTCAGCAGGGACCAGCAGAGGCCAGCAGAGGCCAGCAGAGGCATGTAGGGGCATGTAGAGACCAGCAGGGGCAAGCAGTAACAAGTTGTAATCGTTATACGTTGTCAGTAGTGTCAGGAGTGGTCAGCAGCGGTCAGCAGAGGCCAGCAGAGGCATGTAGGGGCATGTAGAGACCAGCAGGGGCAAGCAGTAACAAGTAGTAATCGTGATACGTTGTCGGAAGCATCGGGGGTGGTCAGCAGCTGTCAGCAGGAGCGAGCAGTAACAAGTTGTAATCGTTATACGTTGTCAGAAGTGTCAGGAGTGGTCAGCAGCGGTCAGCAGGAGCAAGCAGTAACAAGTTGTAATCGTTACACGTTGTCAGAAGTATCAGCAGTGGTCAGCTGTGGTCAGCAGGGGTCTGTAGAGGCCAGCAGAGGCCAGCAGGAGCGAGCAGTAACTAGTTGTAATCGTTATACGTTGTCAGGAGTGTCAGGAGTGGTCAGCAGAGTCCAGCAGAGGCTGGCAGTACCCAGTCGTAATCGTTATACGTTGTCAGAAATGTCAGGAGTGGTCAGCTGTGGTCAGCAGAGGCCAGCAGAGACAAACAGTAGCCAGTAGTAATCGTTATACGTTGTCAAAAATATAAGCGGCGGTCAGCAGAGGCCATCAGAGGCTGGGAGAGGCTGACAGTAGCCAGTCGTAATCGTTATACGTTGTCGGAAGTTGCTGCAAGTACGCTTATACTGTACCATCAGCTTTCTATTGTATATCTGGTCTAATGTTTAATACAATTATCAATATCTGCGATAGTCCTGAATACGTGCAATGCCGACCAAATACCTGTGAAACGTTTAAGATGAATACTTTGGGCTCTGTGTTTAGATGTACTAAATTTGCAAGTAAAATATTTTCATTGATTCAGCAACTTATTTAAGAAATGACGTTATCAGTCGGCAAATATATATTTCTTTCTACGATATACGAGAAACAGAATATACTCGAAGTAAAAATTACAAATAAAATTCAAAGTTGAATGGGGGGGCCAAAAGTGTTCTTTTCGCGTACAAATTGAAAAATGATCAAAGTATGTACGAAAATGATATCGTTTAACCATCCGACAGAATAAGATAACACAATCGTTAACTCAAGATCGGTACTCGTGCAATCGATTGAACGCTCAAGGGTTACAATGAATCATGATTTTATTTGTTATATAATAATATCTACAATAAAAATACCACATCGTTTGAAAAACAATTTTCGTTACAATTATACAGTAATTTTATATAATAATATAATATTTAGTTTTTTCGTTCCAAATAAGATGTAGCGATGAACATACACCTCGCACTGGGGAGTGAGAAAATACATTTTTTTTTTGTTGCAAATTCCACATTGATTTCTTCACTCAGAGTTACCTTTTTTCCATTTTTTTTTTTTGATTTTTTTTTATAGTTTTTTCTTCATTTGCAATACTCAACGGGCACATTCGAAACGACGCCTGGCACCGCCGTCGCGTTTCCCGTCATCGCGCTCTCTATCGCTCTTTAGTACCCGGGAAGAAAAAGTTTCCCCATCCGCCCGGGGTGGGTGGTTGGGTGCGAGGGATTCGTTTCGAGTGTCTCGTTTGTTTTTTTCTTTCATTTTTTTGTTTGTTTGTTTGTTTGTTTGTTTGTTTTTACATGTTACGCGTCGCGCGCGCGCGCACCGTCCTCCATTTTTGCGTTCTCCACATCGGTGAGATAATATAGAAATATTGGACTAGAGCGATCCAACGTTTTCCTATCTCTTCCTCGTAACGCGAGCCCTCGCTCGCCTAATTTTAACTACACTTAGTTAATAGTACCGTAATATCATCTCAATATATATATCATTGTATTAGTTGTCATAATATATAGAAAATACATATAACAATTATTTAAATGACTCACAATCAATCATTTTGTTAGAATGTACATATATGTGTATACACACGCGCACGATATGTATACATATATAAATACACGCATACACACATGTATACACACATATATTTATATATTTATATTAATCGGTGTGTGTTAATTTTACATGATATTTTTTTTTTTTTTTACACTCGTCGTACAGAGGGAGGAAAGGGATGGCAAGGATTCTGTGACGGGGGTCGTTGGAATATTCTGAGGGGGGTGAGGGGGTAGGGGGACAAATAGACCTCTCATACATTTACATTGTCTTTGTCGTACTATTATTTTTAAAGTGAAACCTCTCGGGGGGGGGGACTTAGTCGATATCTTACAAACGTTTCTCATTTTTTTGCTTTTTGTCTATCTTGTACTGTTGTACGTATCCTCGCTTCAACGAACTATCGTTTCGTCGTATCGTTTCGGACCGGCACGGAGCAGATTGGGGGCGTTGTCTCATTAAAAACGTGATCGTTTATAGTTTCCCACGAGCTCCGAACACCGGGCGCGTATTCACCCGTTCACCCCTCTTCGTTTTCGTTTCCGACTTCTCTCGTTAACGGGACATATAAACATTTATCGTGTATATTCAATATATTTATATCTATATATATATGTATATCTGTATATATATATATAGAAGGTTCTTCTCTGCATTCTCTCGGGCGATCCTGCTCCCTAAATTTTTACGTCGAGGTTTCCAACCACGGCCGCTTCGATCTCGGTTTTTCTGGCTGGCGAAGCAACGTCGAACCGTTTTCGAAAAGGCGGTCGAACGGAGTCGAATGTCGACGATCTCTGTGCAAAATTGTTCACGCGCGATCGTTCGATCGATGGGGGGGATAGACGAGGATCGAAGGACAACTTTGAGCACGGAAATTTCATAGGGAAACCGTAAAAGAATGCTTTCGATCGATCGGAATCGTGATGTTTCGACGTTTGCCACGAAAGCTTGCGAAAGGACGAAAGGTCCTCCTTCGTACGGTCTCTGGTAACGCGTCGGTCGAAACCTTCCCAAAACATTATTTATAGTTTCATTTTTTTCTTATTCTCGCCTTATTATCCGTATTGAGCA